TTGCAAGTTGTTAACATGATTGTCAAGTTGTTAACATGATTGTCAAGAAGGCGTACTTGACAATTTTTGCCGTCTGCACATTATCTTGCGCATACTGAGTTGGACGTCACTGGTGGTTGCTCAGCGTGTCTTCCCATGTGTCGCTGTTTATGAATACTGAACCTAATTCTTGCCCTGTCCCAGAAAAAAAACAGCGAGATATGAAACTATATCCCGTCTTTGTCCTTCTGCCTTCAGTGTAGTACGAAGTTCACAACGAATTTTGCCAAAATATTCGTTGTGAACGAAGGCAGAAGAACGAAGACGGGATATTTCATTCTCGCTGTTTTGTCCTCATGATCAGGGTAAGGATTTGGGTCAGCATTCATAAACAGCCAGACATGAATTTCTAATCTGTCTTCACCCCTGACCCTAAACTCAGAATGCGCAAGATAATGTGCAAGACACGACTTCGTTCTGTTGCTCAAACTCTCTAATATAAAGTTTAGCGTTTTCCGCTATGTATATGCCAGACAATTGGCCTAGAAGGAAATTTTGTGGAATTTTTATACATTTTTTTTATTTCGCCCATATATATTATTTACTTTTTTTTTGTCTAGCTACATATATATTAACGTTCAGGCAAGAGGCCTTCTAGAAACCTGATTGGCTTTTTAATGGACGACTTTAGACTAAATTTTAATCTAAGTAAGAACAACGAAATCTTTCACCACAGCTAGAAAGAGCGTCTTGGAATTAGTAATATTACAAAGTTTGGTTGCGAAATGTTGTAAAATACGGAAAATATAGCCCTTCAAAGTTGGCAAATTTGTATACTTTTGTATTACGCGCGTGAATTGGTAACTAAATGGGTTGGTTACCAATTTCCGCACGTAATAGAAATGTATACAAATTTGCCAACTTCGCAGGGCTATATTTTCCGTATTTTACAACATTTCGCAACCAAACTTTGTAATATTACTAATTCCAAGACGCTCTTTCTAGCTGTGGTGAAAGATTTCGTTGTTCTTACTAGTTGGAAAAATGCAACTTTCGGCCCTGTGGCAGGAATCGACCCTGCAATTCTGGTGCAGCGCTCTAACCAATGGACCATTCCCCAATTAACCAAAATTTTGATCTCAACAAGTCTAGACAAAATTCCATCATAGCATGAGAGAGCATCACAAAATTAGTAATATTCCAAAGTTTCGTTGCAAAATGTTGTAAAATGCGGATAATATAACCTTGCGAAATTTGCAATTTTCAGTCATTTTAGATTACAAACGGGAAATGGATACCACTTTTCCAAAATTTTGATCTTAACTAGCCTAAACAAAAATTTCATCACAGCTTGAAAGAGCATCACAAAATTAGTAATATTCCAAAGTTTCGTTGCAAAATGTTGTAAAATGCGGATAATATAGCCGTGCGAAGTTTGTAATTTTCAGTCATTTTGTATTACGCACGGAAGTGGTAACCATTTCCCGTTTGCATGTAATCTAAAATGACTGAAAATTGCAAATTTCGCAAGGCTAAATTATCCGCATTTTACAACATTTCGCAACGAAACTTTGGAATATTACTAATTTTGTGATGCTCTTTCAAGCTGTGATGAAATTTTTGTCTATAGACTTGTTGAGTTCAAAATTTTGGGTAATTAGGGAATGGTCCATTCAGCTGCAGAGAGACAGTTGTCGAGCTCTAAACACAAGTTCATGTATAAATACTAAGGTGATGGCAATGAACTGTGTATGGGTAAATAACAGGATTTGGGGCATCTCATTCAATACAACTAGTTTGAAGGGAAACACCACGTAAATTTCCACAAAATAAATTATTATATGTTTTATCGCCATGGAAACATACAAAGAACTTAGTTTGAAGAGATTCGAAATTTCCATCTACAACCAAATCATTGAAGTCCATCCCTTCAACATTACTTCAACATTATGCATGGAACAACAAAGTATACTTGACTGGATTTATGTTACATGTCTCAAATGACAGATAAGAAGGAAGTATGATATAATGATGCCTTGATATTCTCCCACAACGTATGTGTGAAAAATTGAAAACATTCCTCAATCTTCTTGTGACAAATGATTCTCAGGATCCAAGATCCCGAAATCCCACCAACCATACTAACCAGTCAAGATGTACGTAGAAAATTTTAGGAGAGAGCTTTGTCGAAAATCAATTCTACATCAATTTAATCGACTGGTGGTATTCATATTTATTTTTCTAATATAGCCTTACATTTTTTTACACAAGCATTGTGTGGACTCAAAATTTGACGTTTATACTCGGCAAAGTGTTATACCTTTCAATGTAATTAACTTTTAAAAAATGTCACGCTTATCTGTCAGACAAAGTACATGTAAACACCTATGGCTTATAGACTTCGTAATTCGACCAAGAATTTCCATTCTATCAGCGACTCATTCCCTCCCACGAATTACCTTACGATCTGTCACTATGCTTGTGATTATTGTAACAAAGTTATCAAAAGTATGTCGTGATCTTGAAGAGTCTAATGCAATTTAAGGAACATATTGGCTCTTACGTGTAAATTGAAATACATGCCATTAATCCCTGAAGCTATTATTATTGCAAGTCGTTTGACGTAAATGACGGATTATATCGGTGTAATCCGCTGTTAATTTCTTTTGTATGGAACATTTGAATTCTTTTCTAATGTCTGCGTAAGGTGCGATTTTTTTTTACACTAAAGCTTAGACACCTTGTGGCTATGTTATTTGACTGAGGTTAACGTTACATAGCACATGGAGTATTATGTGGGTTAATCCTCTAGATAAATAGTTTCGCAATACTTGTCTGGATTTTTTTTAACTATATAGTCTAGGATTAAAGTAGGAATTTGGTTTTCAATAATTATGGACACTTCTTTATGACTTAAGGCGATGTTCCACGATGCAATATTTGTAATGCAATTTCTGAGACAGAGCCATGTTATTTAAAAAGTAGTCATTTAGAAATTGCGAGCATGCCTGACCCGCATTCTGCAGTGTAACGACACTTTCTTAATACATAACAAAGAAATGGGATGAAAAATGACGAAGACTAAACCTTGGGTCACGTTCACAATTTTCCTGCCATGCATGCACTATAGTTTTAGATAACATGGCTCTATGTCAGAACCTGCGTTTCAAGTTGCCTCGTGTAAAATGGCATCTAAATCAGGGCTCCAAATGGCGGCCTGCCAATGGGGCAATGGCCAAAGATTTGACCTGCCAATTAAGTCAAAAATAGCAGGCGAATTTTACAAAAACAAAATAGTATCCAATGGTTGAGGACACAATCGATTTGCAGTTTGCAATTTTCGGTTTAATAGCGTCTTACTAGAATAAGATCATTTTATTTTTGGCAGTTCAAAAATAGGAATGGCAGACCATATAGTTTATTTGACCTGCCAAAAAAAATAGTTTGGCATGCCATATGTTTTCCCTATTTCAAGCCCTGAATTCTAAATCTGTTCTAATATTCTCGCATTCCTCGAAGAACAAGTAGGCATATACAAGCACATTCATAAAGTTCACCAAACTGTATTAAGTCAAGAGGTAATTAACCACAACCCAGACACATGCATGCAGAACTTCAAGACGTAACACTGGCAACCACTAATAAGGGACGAATGCCTTCTGTTTGATCTTCTCAAACATTAAACTTTATTTCTGAAATTTATGACTTCAACATACAGATTATTATCACTATATTGTTATGAGCTGAACCAGAGGCTTTAATTGGAAATTATTGGGAGGTAACCAATCGCTCCCCTATCTGGGACAAGTCAGACTTTATTAAGATATGCACCAGACAAAAGCCTAATTGTGCTAATATTAGGGCATAATGTTTGGGCATCACTCCAAATCGTTAATACAAGATCGGCTAGACAACTTATTAAAAGCTCATTAAATGAAATATTCCCCAAATGATGCATATCTTGTCTTCCCTTAATACAAATCACAGATACGTTGGTATGATTTATAACATTCATTACGGAATTAAGATGTCGTAGTTACTGACATGCAGGTACCAATGTTTGATTGAAACATGGCTAAATGTATTTTCCATCAGGCTTTACTGAAAAACTAATTCCCAAAACTTCTAAATCCCAGAATTTTCTTTAACCAATACTACTTTTTACATCACTTGCAGTCTTCACAAAAAACTTTATCTGATTTACAAAGCAAGCCGTAATAAATCAGATAAAGATCCGGTATAGTTCTGCTTTGTACTACTTAAAATACGAATGCATGTATATAGTAATTAACTATATACCAACTATTTTGCCGATTTGGTTCGTTTAGCCGAAAAAAAATACAAAGAATTTTTATGTACAACAGGAGGAAATCTTTATCCGATTTACAGAGATTGATTAAACATTCATTTCTTTTGAATTTTCTTCATGAATTATTACTGAGATTCTTAATAAAGTCGTGTATGGAATATGTAGTCTTATTTACATTTAATTAAAAATCATTGAAGTATTTAATGACGTCCAAGTATAACAGTACTCTCAGAGGAGGATTCAGATAGAGTCACAGATTTTTCAGGGGAAGTACACCCTTATTATATACATGAAAACACAAAGTTCTATAGTACTATTTAGAATACGAGCAGATGTGCTTTATCAGATATTGTATGCTTTATAAGATCCAGTTTAAAATCTGATAAAGCACAGACACTCGCGTGTTTTAATGGCTTAGAAAACAACTCATCTGACGAAGTAATCTAAACTCATCTGACGAGTTCATTGGCGAAGTAAAATAAACGTTGTCTAAGCCGAGAAAACTAAAGGCTAATGTTTAAGTAGGTTCGGTCCGCCCAGCCGTTCCCTCTTGGGGGCTCTCTTGGAGGGAACGGCTGGGCGCATGCAGTGCGTTCCGTGTCTGATCACGTGTTATTACCAATTCCAATATGCGATATTACTGCATAAATTATAGAATGTTTATGGATGAGTAATAAAACAAGTCATTATTAAATTAGCCAGAAATGCTTGGCAGATTGGAATAAGAACGCGATGAATTGACTGATGTAAATTAGCATCTGTTCGTGCTTGTTTTGTTTGTTCTACTGAAGTTGAAAATGTAAAGTGTCGAACGAAAATCGTAGGGAGAACGCGGGAATTGCTGGAAAGTGCTTGTGATAGTTTGTGTATTGCTAAAGAAACAGTGCCATGCGATAAATATTTGTGCTGTTCATGCCTGAAACAAGTTAACAAGTGCACCAAACTATAACAAGAAATTGAGGATTGTAAAAATTATCTCAGGAAAGTTTACTTAAGTGAGAATGAGAGATTTAAACGGTGTTTACCCACCGACGTAGGAACATTACATGCATACAGCACCCTCAAAGAAATCGGCTAGGCCTTCAACTATCGTTAAACCCCAAAAACTTATTTTTAAAGGGAACGAACTTCCAAATGAGCAAACTCTGCATCGAGAACTCAGAAGTCCAATGTAAAATTGCTACAAACGCTATTAAGGATCTGTCTCGTGTTCCAAATATATAATACGAGACATGATAATATATAATACGAGAGATAATTATGATAATGATTTAGCACCGCGATTTGCGGTGCTAGTATTTTGATTGGCTGAACGGAACAATACGCACTTCATGTTCCCTCTAAGAGAGCCCCAAGCGGGAACGGCTGGGACCGAGCCTAATGTTTAAGTATAAATGAACATGATTTTTTATCACATATAAAACCACGGACACGGTAGTGATTTTTTGTCTTTTCCTCATTATTATTAATGTATATACACTGGTTGATGCGGACTCTTCCAGGGGAGGAGTGAACATTCGCACAAAAGGTCGTCTTTTCTTGAAATACAGTAAACACGCCATATTGCAAAACCAGTATTTTAAGCTACAATGGCGGCGTATAGGAGTAAAATCTACTCCCACACGGGAGTTCTTTTTTCACGCAATGTTAGTAGCAAATAGCAATACGTACATGCATATGCATGCACAACCATTGAACTGAATATAACTGGAACGCTACCTCCAACCTGAAATTTGAAGCCAAAATTGAAGGCCAGTCCCAGTCCTTTCTCAGTTTTCACGCATGTGAAGAGCGCTCAATCAGTCAATCATGATATAAACACAGTTTTTCTAAAGGTAGCGTTCCAGTTATATTCGTTTCAATGTGCACAACATACAACAGCGCCATTTCGTGGGTTAGGCATGTTTTTCTGTGCATGCCTTTGTTGCGTTTACCTAGGGGACCGGTCATTATTTATGGCGGAGGGTGGCAACGAAGAGAAATGTTTTCTGTGTCAAAAATTTTGCTGACCCAACCATTAAAAAGACAAAAATTTGATTACCCAACCTCAAATATCAATTAAAAAATAACTACCCACCCCTGGCCAAAAACTTAACAAAAGGATACCATATATGTCATACATGTCCTCTATCACTTCAGTGACATGAGTTTGATAACGGTTTGTGAAATTTTCTGCAGTCTAAAGTTTCATGTTGTCTGCACATGTACTTTCTTTGGAAACACAATTTATTTTGTCAAAATGATCAAGATAGTGACTCTGATTGATTCACATATTGTATTGACATATGACTGTTGACATTGCTTTTCAGTCTCCAATATTTCAGTGGGTCATGCTTTGGAAATGACAATAAATTTTTATTACTCAACCCTTGAGTTGTTTTGTTTTTCATTTACCCAACCTTTTACTCACTCAAAATTTAGTTTACCCAACCCTTTTCTCTTCGGTGCCACCCCCCCGCCATAAATAATGACCGGTCCCTAGTTTGAAGGCATATATTTTCCACACACCACTGCGAACAATATGGTACTCACGGTTCGAGGCTACCATTTTTTCACCCATCTACAATGAACGACAATCGACTTCCAAATTCAGTTGACGCATGCATGCCTGCATCATAAACAGGTAAATGCTACCTCCTTTTAAATCTAGAAATTGAAAGAAGTTTAATACAGTTATGCCTGTGGATTCCATTTTCGTGGAGTTATAGCTAATCCTTGAATGTGGGTAGGCATGGAGGTCTACAAACCACCACGCGAACCAAAACTAGTAGCCTGGGGACGAGAATGAAACTGATGTGCTCGAAAAACACCCTCATGGTTAAAAATTGAAAAACACGGATTAACCACAGTCCTGGTTAGTTTAACCAGGAACATTAAGTTACCCATCAGGAACTAGACTGAGTTCCGAAATATCATGCATCAAATCGAACCGACTTGACCTCGTAGCTCAGTTGGTAGACCTTTGGACTAGCAAACAAATGGTTGCGGGTTCGATTCCCACCGCGGTCAAGTAAACTTTTCAACTTGCCCGGTGTGGACTCACTCAGAGACAACATCACAAACATACATTCACCACAGGTTTAGAAGCGCGTAGTCAACTGTAGTCCCCTCACGTAGTCTTGGAGTCAACCTACATATCAATGTCTGTATCTCCAGAGATAAATGATATTATCACATACTTGTACCTTTATCAGGTAGGAAGCAGCGGGACATAAAAACGATATCGTCCCGGATATCGTTTTTGTCCCGGATATCGTTTCTTGTCCCGGATATCGTTTTTTGTCCCGCTAAATTTCGCGCCTTGTCAAAACAAAGATGGCCGACTCGAGGTTCGTGTTGGTTGATGTCGACAGTTTATCAAGAACGATAATACAAAACGAAAGACTTAAATTGTATATTATTTACATGAATGGTCTATTTATTTTCTAAAATCATATTTGTTCAGTAAATGATGAATTGTTTTGAATTCCAAAATGATCCTATTTTTTCAAAACTGTTTACTTTTGAGTGTCAAACCCTGATAAAGGTACAAGTATATAATAAATAGGTTATCGTACTCGGGATTCGGTGATATCAGTTTTATCGCTCTCGGGACGATATCACAATTGTCCCTCGCTCGCTCGTGACAATTGTGATATCATCCCTCGAGCGATAAAACTGATATCACCTCATCCCTTATATGATAACCTATATATAAATTTGGAGCAAACCCCTCAGACTATATGGAGGAAACGTTGCTACATTGCCCCCTAACGTCCGCAGACATATTGAAGGGGTCTATAGATGAAAATTTCGAGTGGCATTTTTATACACTTATTGATTTATTCGACCTGAACAGAAAAAATGCAACTATAGGAATCTAACCTGCGGCCCTGCGACACAGAATAAGGTACACAGAAGGCCGACTTCTTCGTTTTTCCTATGATTTTCCTATGATTTTCCTATGATTTTCCTATGATTTTCCTATGATTTTCCTATGATTTTGGCGTAACTCGTGATTCGTCATCCAATGCTGACGCCATGGTCCTAGCCAGTGCGCGTCTGAGAGGCATTCACCCCCCTGATATCATTCAAAATGGCGGATGTCCAGGGGGGGAATGCCTCTTAAACGCGCACTGGCTAGGACCATGGCGTCAGCATTTTGATGATGAATCATGGCGTGGCAGCGTTACTCGAGTCGACCTTCTGTGTACCTTATTCTGTGCCTGCGATTCCGGTGCAGCTCTCGTTACACCAGGTGATCTCGGAACTCAGAAAAGGCCTGGTACTAGTTGTGAAATAGAAATCCATTTGTGGTTTCAAATTACTCAATATCTCATTAACGGTATAAGATTTCTATCTCAAATTTGTCCCAGATATTCACTTCCCTGTGCAAGACACAGACACAAAGTTTCAAACAGTTTCACAAAAGAATCAGGACGTGACAAGTGATTCAAGGCACCGAACTGGATTTCTACTCTGTTGCTAGTCCCAGTTCTTTTTTTCACCGTCAGATCACCTGGAACTGAGCTACAGATCTAAGGTATACGAGTAAATATCAGGATTTTGGACATTCATAGCAGATAGTTGTATTTTTCGCGACTGTTCCTGATTAATACAAAATAACAGTAACTCCGAATAACATTTTAATTTTTAATCGACGTTTCGACTAGTTTGTAGTCATCCTCAGGATGACTACAAACTACAATCAGTTTCAAAAGTCTTGGGACAGATGCCACAAAACCTTTGAATTTCAACAAACGACAATCCCCCCCCCCCGCCCCCTGTTCAATGTTGTGTCCCGTTTCTCGTCGGGTTTGATGTGTTTTGGTTTAAACAACATTGATTGGGGTGGGGGGAGGGGGATGGGAGCGGTATTGTGTGTAAAAAACTATAATGATCCACTTACAAGCCAAAACTACATGTGTCCCAACAACTTCTGAAAGTGATTGTAGTCGAAACGTCGATTAAAAATTAATCCTGAGGATGACTACAAACTAGTCGAAACGTCGATTAAAAATCAAAATGTTATTCGTATAGTTACTGTTATTTTGTATTTTCTTAAAATACTGAGTGGTTCTGGTTAGGTCTATAAAAATTCCACTCAAAATTTAATCTCCAAATCCCTTCAACAATTAGTTATATCGAGTGTAGATGCCCAAAATTTTGATATTTACCCATACATGATACAGCTTACTCCAATGTAGAACTGAGTAAAGTCGTATTTTACTTATTCAATTTTGACTTTAATGTATATAAATATATTCCTTTCATTTGCGTAAAATTTCAAATTAAATAATTCTTACTTCTTCTTTGATTTAAATTTTCCTCCTGTAGACTTGTTGACATTTGAAGAACTGAAAGCAATAAAAGTAACAGGTGTTCAGAACAACACAATGCATGTTTTAACAAATACACTCGGCAGGGGCGGGGGACCCCACTAGTTAATAGCGAGCTTAAGATGCACCAAATCTGCGACACGGACGCGACTAAAAAACAGTCGCTAATAATTGGAGACTAGGTTTACTATGTTTTTCTCGTGTCCTAGGCTTTGGTTTCCAACAGCCATCCATAGTTTTTACCCGTGAGGCAAAACTGTGATAATAGCGTCAGTTTTTCGTCACGTCCGCCTCGTAGATTTGGTGTATCTTAAGCTCCCTAGTGGCTCAGACTGGGCCCTGACTTTACCCTGATTGGCCTAAATCTTACTCTGGGGACCCAAACTGGGGTCCTCTACTCAGTCTTATTATCTGTTTCAGTCTTTATGTAAGTCATTTTCCATATACTTACAAACTGCGAAACTCGCTCAAAGCTTTCCGACTGGTGTCAGTGAGTTCTTTTTCAAAAGCTTTACTGCCTTCAGATTTTCCAGTTGCCTTTTTGCGTTTCTTGGTTGTTTTGCGAGATGAATCTGTGAAAGACAAGTCATTTTATCATATTAGTGCTTACAACTCGTCCATAAGTGCAAAATGTCGAGCGATCGACATTTTGCGATCACTTTCTTTTGAAATACAAGCAATCAAACGCAACGGATCAGGTTGACTGAACACATTTCAAAAGAAAGTGATCGCAAAAAGTTGATCTCGCGACATTTTGCACTGAATGGAAGTCGGTCCTCACATCGTTAGCACTCGACTGCACCTAAAGCCGCAAGATGAAGGTTAAAAGTCAAACTAACCATCTTTGTCATCAGACGGGAAAGCATGAAGACGTTTCTTTCTGTTTTTACGTTTCTCGTCTCGTCTCAGAAATTCTTGAAACTGTTTTGCTTTCAACTCATCAGGTTCCAATTTCTGAAAGAAATCACAATTGTTTACATGCCAGAATGGCGAAACCGGCACGTAGGCACTTACTGTACTGGGAAAACGTGGACAATGATATTCTTGGAACATTTTCTGTCCGTGGAAATTTTTCTTGAGTGGAAATGGTACTTAAGTACGCGAATTATCGCACTCTGATACATTAGTTGTTTAATCACCTTCTCTTTCTTCAGTTTTTCCTCCTTTCGACTTTTCTTTGAACTGGTCTTTCCTTCCTTAGCTTTCCCTAAAAGAGTTTCTTTTAGAGTTTCCTTAGACTTTCGCAAATTCATTTTAAATTGCGTCATTTTTACTTTGCGCGGTTCATTGGGAAAATATTCCCATTCTCCCTTATAGAGTTCACTGCATCTTTACACGCATTTGTTCAAGTACATACGCCAGGATACGAATCGTATAGGAGTTCTCTCTCCAGATATATATGAGGTTCCCTGATGTGAAAACATCGTCGAACAATTTTTATGACATGGGCAACGATGGCTATTTTTGTTGTATTTGATTTGCCATTCAGCCCTAAAGCTTATTAATAATGCATATTTTTTTGTTATTACCAGTTTCGTTTTGAAACCACACTCTGGGAGGACGGCTTTGGATTTCATCTCGATGGATGATCATATTTCTCGCTTTGTTTGCCTCCATCTCCGTTATTCTGAGCTTAAAAAAACAACAAACAAACTTTGTATCACAACGGTTAACGCGAGTGTCTATTACCATGGAGGGGGGAGGGGGCATTACAGGGGAGGGGGTGGGTTGCACTTGCTTCCTCTACCAAACAAACAGACAGTCAAACAAACGTTTGCTGGTGTTTCGCCGCGAGAGTTATTCTGAACTTTGTTTTTCACTCGTCAAATAACTTTGCTTTTTACGATGTTCAAAATGTTTATAAAATTTGCCTATTCTGAAAGACCACTTCCTCTAGTTTCTCAGGGTCACGGTAAAGCCGGACTTAAAAAACAGTCAACCAAAAAATTATGAAATTTCTACATGAAATGATGCCGATTTTCGTACTGAATTCAGTGAAAGTATATAAACTCGAACGATCTGTTCCAGCGTAGGTAGCATATCAAAAACACAGGAGAATGCAGATGTATATGGATTCAACTACCTGAAAAAATACAAGTCAAACTACGACGAAGACCTTAGTCCTACTTAAATTCCCGACGAAGGGCCTTCGCTCGAAATGTCGAAGTTTTACTTGTTTTTTCAGAGTTGAATGCATGTCCATCTGCATTCTCTACACTGGATCCCGCTATTTGGTAAACAGATAGTTCAGACACAAACCAAGGCAGCTTATTGTAGACTATTTCAGAATCATCCTCATGCAGAGATACGAAAAATCAGTTTCATATTATTCTGACACTGCAATCGAGCAACGAAAAATTCGTTGGCTCGAGCAGGATTTGAACTTGCATCTTCGGGTATCTAGACCGCCGCTCTACCCATTGAGCTATCAAATTCCGCTCGAGCCAACGAATTTTTCGTTGCTCGATTGCAGTGTCAGAATAATATGAAACTGGTTTATTGTAGAAACTGATTTATTGTAGACTGAAACTGGTTTATTGTAGACTACCTACACAGGTGTCAGTGATTCTGACGATGATATATCCTACCTCTTTGTCCTCTCGTTCTTGTTTCAAGATTTCCTGAATGTCTTCTTGGAAGGCACGCACCTCGCCTGCTTGACAATCTCTTTTAGTAATTTCGTTCACCTTCGCCAACTAGGCTGATCGATCTGAAAGAACAGATTTTTTAGGTTTTTTGCTCCAGGAATAAACAGATTATCAGGCCTGCAAATAGGCCTACTGTCACATGGTATCCAATACTGTAAATAGCATCTAGCCTGGTGATAAAATAAACTCCGGTCTACCTGCCAGAAAGTCCAGCCCTCGCAGTCCGACCAACACGATGAATATATTGTTTAACGGAGTTTGGCATAGAATAATTGATCACCTGAAATCAAAGATAGAAATAAAAATTATCAAATCCAAACGTCATTCTAGCGGAGACAAGATTGCTTTTACATGCGTAAACATCCCATGCACAGCTTGTCAACAAGATGTGTTCGCATTGTTTGTTCCCAGTTGTTGACAAGTCTGGAACAAGTTGTTATCATCTTGTAACAAGGTTGCCGAGGGCAACAGACTCGCGACCATTTGTCTAACCGGTCTGACATGGTAGTAACTTGTTGCGAACAGCCTGTATTAGTCTTCTTGGAACAACAAGTAGCAAGTCTGTTACCGTCATCATGGATAATAAAATAAATGGATAGGAAACTAGCTGACGTGACCTAATGTTTTCAATGGGCTGATGGCGTGGTTGGATGTTCAAACCTAGTTGCAAACCAAATTCTCAAAAACGGCATGTTTAGCAATAATACAGCTAAACATTTTAGTCAAAGAGCAAATGAATATAACTATTTTAGCAAATATATCAAGCACTGAACAGTGAAAAAGGCATCCCAAATTTCGTTAAAATTGGGGACGCCAATTTCGTAGCTACAAATGTAAAAAAATACAAAACAAAGACGAAAAACATTTACCTTGAATATTTTGTCGTGGCTTAGGCATGTTTTTCAAACAATTATAGACCGGTTTATGCTTCAATATTGCTCTTTTAAGGCGGAAAATATAGCGAAACAACAAAAATGCAGAGAACTTTGCAATGCGCGTGACGTCACAGATTGCAACTAGGTTGTTTTTGCTTACGTCAGCGAGAGTCCTATCCATTTATTTTATTATCCATGCCGTCATTAACCTTGTAACAACTGGGAACAAGCAGTGCAAACACATTCTAATATCGGCATGACAACAATCTTGTAACAACTCGTTTGCAGATATGTAACAATGTGCACGTTTTTACGTGTGTACTTGATGTAATCGATCACTGAAAAGCGCCGATGGGAAGTGAGCTGAATTATGTATGAATGTATGTATATATGATAATAATACTATGTATGTATCGCGATTCATTAAAGGTGCTCTACAGTCCGTATGTAAACAAAGCCTTTGTTTACATTTTTGTGTCCAAAATATTGAGTTTTATTCGACAACTATTTATATTTTCAAGCTTCTAGAGTACAATAAATTATCAAGAAACAACAATCAGGCTTTTCAAGAACCCAAAACATAGTTAAACTGTTTGTATCATAAAAAGTGGGCTCCCTTGTGCACATGCGCAGATCGGGCTGTAGAGCACCTTTAAATAAATAAATATACATTTAATTTTACCGTTTTGACACCGACCACGTCCAAGCCACGAGATGCAAGATCTGTTGCGACCAAAACATCAACCTCCCTTTTCTTGAATTTGTTCAGCGCTTCAAGTCTCTGCAAGCGACAGAAAGAGACAGTGATGAAAATCTTAGTATTAGTTGCTACACTCTGCCAGTGAGCTGCGTATATATCTGGAGTGAGAACTCGAGTCCAAAAAGTGAAGCCAGCTTCGTGTTAACCGCGCAGTCAAAAAGAATAGAAAGGGACTGGAACTGACGCCATCTTGGCAAGGAGTGTGCCGAAATTTCGTATTTTGACATCGATTTAAAGAGTAACAGTACGATTTTATCAACGGATAACTTGGTTAGCTTTAAGGTCCGTGGAATGGACCTTTCCCCTTATAACTAAAATTTCGATCTAAACAAAAATTTCATCACAACTTGAAAGAGCATCACAAAATTAGTAATATTCCAAAGTTTCGTTGCAAAATGTTGTAAAATGCGGATAATATAGCCTTGCGAAGTTTGCCGTTTTTCAGTCATTTTGTATTACAAACGGGAAATTGACATCCGATTCGGGTGTTGGGGCTGCAATTTCCCGTTTGTAATGCAAAATGACTGAAAATTGCAAACTTGCAAGGCTCTATTTTCCTCATTTTACAACATTTCGCAACGAAACTTTGGAATATTACAAATTTTGTGATGCTCTTTCAAGCTGTGATGAAATTTTTGTCTAGACTTGCCTAGATCAAAATTTTGGTTATTAAGGGGAAAGGTCTATTAGCTTGGGAAAATGGTATAAAAGCTGTTTACGACCTTCAGAGCTATTGGGCGTTAATGGCTGCCATCTTGGCTTCACTTTTGAAGATCTCACTCCAGACTATATATGGAGCTCACTGTACTCACCTGTAATTGCGTGAGGTTACCATGAAGTTCTTCTGCATTCACACCGAGCAGACCAAGAAATATTCTCAGACGATGAGCTAGTAGTTTTGTTTGGACAAACACGAGACAGTTCTCGTGGAAACCTCGACAGCAAAGGGCTAAAATCAATTGAAGTAAAAGTAAATATAATATAATCACTCAGAACCGTCACGTCTTTGGTGAGTGAAATCTATCAAAAGTCCTGGTCAGAGAGTTGAGAAGCGAGAGTTTACATGAGATTTTTCTCAACTCTCATGCCCCGGTCAAACGAGAACAAGAGTTGCATGAGTTGAATGGATATTACCGCGCGTGCAGCGAAAACTCTCAACATTCATGAAAAGAGTGCACAAATTCCCATTATAGACTAATTTTAAAACTAGACAAGGAGATGCAAATAAATTACCACAGCTAGAAAGAGCATACTAAAATGAGTAAAATTGCAAAGTTTGGTTGCGAAATGTTGTAAAATGCGGAAAATATGGCCTTGTAAAGTTTGCAAATTTTGTATACTTTTGTATTGCGTGAGGAAATTGCTACCATTTTCGGCCCACTTGGGAATGTTTCGGCCCACTTGGGAATGTTGCTCGAGTTAAGAAAAGCGCGCAAAATCACTCGCCTTCGGCTCGTGTTTCGCCCGCTTTTCTTAACTCTCGCAACATTCCCGCGTGTTTGGATCAGGCCATCCAAACACGGAAACCATAAAGTAATTGTTTTATAAAATAACAACTTTCTGTGTTAAAATTTCACTTTAAAAAACTTTCACTTTAAATTTCCGTGTTTGGATGGCCTGATCCAAACACGGGTTTCGACCAATCAGGGCACGCGTTATATACATGTTATATTATAATAGCAATTTCCACACGCAATACGGATGTATACAAAATTTGCGAACTTTGAAGCTATATTTTCCGCAATTTACAACATTTCGCTTTAAATTTCCGTGTTTGGATGGCCTGATCCAAACACGGGTTTCGACCAATCAGGGCACGCGTTATATACATGTTATATTATAATAGCAATTTCCACACGCAATACGGATGTATACAAAATTTGCGAACTTTGAAGGCCTATATTTTCCGCAATTTACAACATTTCGCAACCAAACTTTGCAATTTTACTCATTTTAGTATGCTCTTTCCGGGAATATATACCCGTCACGTTTTAGGAAGAGTTACTATTTTAGACTTTTGTATTCTTTTGTATTTTAAACTATAATCCTAACCCTAACCCTAATCCTTCATGCCTAAAAATAGTAACTGTTCCTAAATCGTGACTCATATGATATTTACACACTGCAGCAATACAAGTTCGTTAACCTGAAGTGAATTTTAGGAGTTAGAACTAACCAGGGAATTCATTTTAAACCATACGAGGCCATTTTAAATCACATCAGGATTTGGGGCGCATCTCATTCGATATAACCGATTGTTGATGATTTGTAGATGGAAATTTCGAGGAAAATTTTTATACAATTATACTATTTCCCTCGGGAGTACACATTATAGTAAGTGTATGACAGTTAAGACATTATGTTTTTTTAAAAACTACCATGTTGAAAAATTCATAGAAGAACAGAACTCTTACCATTATCGCTTATTATAAATTTTCTAAATGGTATATTAGTAGAAACCATTTACCATTGATGGCATGTTAATTTTTTTCACGTGTTAGATTCTACATTATATATAGTTAGTTTGCCCAAAAATATTGTTGCAAAATAAGGTTGCCCAGATGATCAAAGAGTCATTCAAAGGTCCAAAATAGTAAATAGCTTTTGAATTGGGATGAGATGCAAAGAATGAAATTCCACAAGGAAATTGTCGCCCATCTGAAACTTTTCCCCTCCTCCTTAGCCGCGTGCAGCCCACCATTTTTCCCTTAGGCCTGCACGTGGGCTACTTCCTCCCCTACTAATCCTCCCCTGTATACAGGCGTTACCTCGTCCGTCATTGTCGCTGAGGTCCGTATGCAAACAAAGCCTTTGTTTACATTTTTGCGTCCAAAATATTGAGCTTTATTCGACAACTATTTATATTTTGAAGCTTCTAGAGTATAATAAATGATCAAGAAACAACAATCAGGCTTTGCAAGAACCCAAAACATATGAAAACTAATTTCCACACGTACGAAATTTAACTCAAACAACTTCATTTTTACTGCACTGAAACTTTGGTGAGAAGATTGAGTTTCAAAACTCAATTCAAGATTGAGTTTTTGGGGCCGTTTAACGGCCCTAAAAAATCCCGGAAAAAACCCCTGAACGCCAGACAATTTAACTTGTTAAAAGGAGAGTGCTGGGATTCAATGGGTTAACAATAGCATTTGGGGGACTGCTAGCTTTCTTCAAGCTTGTAGCAAAACCTGGAGAAGATTTTTGTGCTCAGATCGATCTTGGAGCCTTCATTAGTAGCGAAGTGATCAACAAAACAGTGAAATATACAATGAAATTATCTGGGATTTTGTCCTTTTTATGTTGAAATTTAAAAACATTGTCTTTTATCATGCAAATTGAGGATTCCATGTGATTCAATCTTGATTTAACCAAATCAGTATCCAGCTAGATCTTGCCAAAGGCAGAACAATTAACAAACAACCATGTACATGTTTTGTTTTCAAATGTACTGTACAATAATAGATAATGGTGTAATAGTCATTGTGCTGGCCCAGTAATTTGGATTCTTGATATAGACATCTGTGCACTGAGGTATATTTAACAAGGTTTATGTTGATGACGACTTCTGGTCTAAATCTAATGTAAAATTAAATGTGACATGTACAGTAGAGCTTTTCACAAAGAGTTTTAATGGTGTTTTAAGAGAAAGGACTACAAATTTTCAAAATTATCGATATTGCAACTAAGGAATTTACATTATATATAAAGAGTGATGTTGTATTAGATTTCTGAAATGATCTACAAGGATTTATTAAGATCTGTATAGTCAACATATTCTCTAGCTGTAAAACCCACAAGCTGTTTGAATTCATTCCATTGTAAACAAGATCATAGATATCATTTTGGGGACTACTGTATCTCAGCAATGTGTAATGTTGCTCACTCTTGTTATAATTTATAATTGCAATATATCTGCCATAAGCTTTGTCTAACGCCAGAAAATTTTACTCCTCAAGGGGGATAGTGCTGGTGCTGAATGGGTTAATCTGATGTATTTATTCCCGTATGTCTAGTTATTAACCAATTAAGACCATGTGCACACGGTAACGTTTTTGAGCGTTTTCATTTGTGTTTTCACGCTAAAACGGATGCAAACACTATCAATTTACGACAGAAGCTGTAGTTTATTTAATATATTGGAGATGTTTTTCTTTGGATCGTGTGAACAAGGCGTCAAAACGATTAAAGGGGCAAAAACGTTTTTGAAAACGCTCGAAAACGACGCCCGTGTGCACATAGCCTAAGTTGCATTGCACCCGAATGCGGTTGATTTCAATTATTAATGAGAATATGAATTATTAATGAGAATAACAAAAATTGATTGCATGTTGACTGCAAAAATCTACTAAAAACTGATTTTTTACAATTCACAAAAATATTTAAAAACTGGGACTTCAATTGATCACACAGATCAGCCGACACCCATGTGAGTGTAGCCTTCAAAGCAGTTGTTTATGGGCTTGGTATTGAAAACACATCAAAGTTTGCACACAAAAAATTTAAGTAAACAACCCAAAGTTAAAGCTGTTTTAGGGAAAGTTTTACATTAAGTAAGGAAAATGTGCAGGTACAAATTGGAAATCAACCTATGAAGTTGTTTTGTGCCCCAATGTTCATCATAGTCAATAGCCATGACTCAGGGCATTAATTTTGCAGTATGCTGATATCCATGAGATACCAAATTTCAAATTTGGTAAGTGGATATTAGAAGCTCAGTATCTACACAGCCAGAAATCTCACAGGCCTGTCGCAAGCTGTTGATTTTACCGGCTTGCGGCAAGTTGTCAACAAGTCGCGACAGGTCTGTTGGTTTCGTCAGGCGGTAACAGGCTTGCGGGAACAGGTCTGTCGCAAGCTGTTGACAACAGAGCCGTAGCGACTTGTTAAAACAACCCGCTACAAACCTGTTAGTAACAAGAGATAACAGGTCTGATAGAACAACTTGCAGCAAGTCTGTTGAAATCAACAGGTCTGTTCCAACTTGTTCCAACAGACCTGTCGCGAGTTGTTTTTGTCAAGTCTGCAGCAAGCTTGTTATCAGACCTGCGACAGACCTGTCCACAACAAACAATTTTTGTCCTGTCACAACAAGTTTCAACAAGCCTGTTGTTGGGAAACAAATCGAAAATGTGAGTAAAGAATGTGGTAAAGAGAAAAGTCGCACGAATGGACACGTCCGGCTTCACTTTCTCATTCAAGGCAATATTAAATCACAATATCAATTTACAACAGAAGCTGTAGTTTATTTAATATATTGGAGATATATTTTCCTTTGGATCGTGTGAACATGGCGTCAAAACGATTAAAGGAAAAAAAGGTTTTGAAAACGCTGGAAAACGACGCCCGTGCCAAAGATTAGATACTATAAAGATGTGTCACTCGACGTATTTCCCTAATGTTTGCGTGTCCGTAATTTTCCGTGCTGATCACGAGTGATTACGCGAGATGACGAGTGCATAACACTTATGCCAAAATGGCGGCGAGACTGAATACAATAGGTTGCCATCGCGATGCTCGCGCTATATGACGAATTTTGACAATTTGACACTTACTGGCAAAATGGCGGCTATAAAAAAATCTCGGACATAATTTTCGCAGAGTGACACATCTTTATAGTATCTAATCTTTGCCCGTGCGAACATAACCTAAGTATCTACTCTGTGTTTAAATGCAAAAGCCGCTGTTTTTAACTTTTTATATTTTTAAAAAATAATTCCGATTTCCAAAATCCAAATTCCAATTTGCTGACGTGTGCTATCGTTATATTCCTTTAATCTGATTGGATAAAGGCGTGTGCACACGTCATCATTCCTCGTTGCAATTGGACGAAATATTACAAACATATCAATCACGTAATCATGTTTAGTTGTTTTTGAATTTTGAGCCAAACAAAATTTCAAAAATACATGAGCAACCGAGTGTTCACTGCAACGTTCTTCATTGTTCAAATGAATATGAAATTCGTTATATACAATGATTTCTTTCCAATTTCAAGTGAAATCCGCGAGCGAGGAAGACGCCTTATTGAAGCTTTGTGTTATTATATGTACTATTTTGAAGAAAAATATGCAAGTAGGTTGTCATATTTCGGTCGTACTTAAAGACCAATTAATTTTGAAAATTGTTTACGATAAGAACCTTTCTTGAATTTGTCGTATTTTTTCGGCTGTTTTGCTCAAAAATTATCTCGCAAGTTTGTTTATAAGTGTTCATATGAAAGTCTGGCCATTTCACGAAACACTACAACCGAAATATGGCAACCTGTTTGGCCGTTTTGTGTTCAAAATAGTGGATACACAAGCTTCGTAAGGTGCTTTCCTCGGTTTGCAACAGGTCTGTCGCAAGTTGTTGAAAACAGCATTGCTGCAGCTCTGTGCCAACAACTTGCGACAGGCCTGTTGAAAACAGCTTGCGTTGACAGGCCGTTGCGGACCTGTCAGAACAGACAGGTACAAGGCGAGCGAACGCATCCAGATATCGGCTTGTTGACAACAGGATTTAACAGATCTGTTGCAGACCTGTTCCGACTTGCGCGTTTCTGGCTGTGTATTAGGGCAGTAAACAAATGTTTCACCCAGCTCACAGAGTTTTCTTTCAAAATTAGACAACCAATATTGAATTTTGAACTTTGCTTCAATGTTTTGGTACTGTTAACTGGAATATCTATTTTCTGAATGTGGGATTCTTGATTTCCTGGCTGGATACCAGATGTTCTACACAGCCAGAAATCTCACAGGCCTGTCGCAAGCTGTTGATTTTACCGGCTTGCGGCAAGTTGTCAACAAGTCGCGACAGGTCTGTTGGTTTCGTCAGGCGGTAACAGGTCGGTCTGATTATTATAAAATGCAAAAGCCGCTGTTTTATTTTTTTTTTAAAAAGTTCCGATTTCCAAAATCCAAATTCCAATTTGCTGACGTGTGCTATCGCTATATTTCCTTAATCTGATTGGATAAACGCGTGTGCACACGTCATCATTCCTCGTTGCAATTGGGCGAAATATTACAAACATATCAATCACATAATCATGTTTAGTTGTTTTTCAACAAAATTTCAACAACTGCCTCAAACCACAGAATAGGAAGTTATACCAGAAGCGTAACTCGAGCAAATATTTGTCCGCGTTTTTCAAGCGATTCGTCATCAATCACGCCATCCTGGCTAGTACAACCGGCACTTTGTACCTACCAAATGAGTTAAAAATTTTCGTGGACGTCAAACAATAAGGGAAACGACTAGAGTTACGCTTCTGGTATAACTTCCTATTCTGTGCTCAAACAAAATCAAACAAGTTCAAAGCTGTTTTGATTTTTGAAGAAACTGTGGCAATGAGAATACAAAGATCTAGAGCTTAAGAAATGAGCAATACATGAACAACCGAGTGTTCACTGCAACGTTCGTCATTGTTGATATGAACATGAAATTCGTTATATAATTTCTTTCCAATTTCAAGTGAAATCTGCGAGCGAGGAAGACGCCTTATTGAAGCTTTGTGTTATACAACAGCTTGTAACAGACCTGTTGAAAACAGCATTGCAGCAGCTCTGTCACAACAGCTTGTAACAGACCTGTTGAAAACAGCATTGCAGCAGCTCTGTCACAACAGCTTGTAACAGACCTGTTGACAGGCCGTTGCAGATCTGTCAGAACAGACAGGTACAAGGCGAGCGAACGCATCCAGATATCGGCTTGTTGACAACAGGATTTAACAGATCTGTTGCAGATCTGTTCCGACTTGCGCGTTTCTGGCTGTGTAGTATCTCATTGGATAGTGCTGAAAATATCAAATTTGAAGCCCTGCATGTTTAAACTAGCTGACATTTACCCAAGACGTGCCGGTACCTGACAGGTACCTAACTGGTGTGTTTACATCAGGACATGCGACTCCTTTTGACTGAACCATTAATGTTTACCAAACACCAGTATCAGGAGCACGTACTGTATTTTAATGATTTAATCCCATTTTGGAAATTGCTCATGGGTTCTGTAAATCCAAATGGCCTAAAATCCAAGTTAGCCCAGTTAGTGAGACAACCTGGTAAGCACGGGATGAATTTGTCTTGACCTTTGACAATCATGACAGTTCTTAAAAATAGCTTGTGGTGACATCTCGTTGAACGTTGATCCCAGCAACCTGGCCAGCCTGCATGTTCAGTGAGTTTATTGAGAAATTTTCATCCCTGTTTTGTACATGAGATCTTGCCTTCGCCCTTGGACTAACCAGGTACATAGCCACCTTATTTTGGCTAATCGAAATTCTTTTGGAATCCCAGGAAATGTTGAATTTTAGTGAATGTGTGTTTGTCAAATACTGCAAGTGACTAATTTATCTCCATTTTTGTTTTGCAGAGCAAGACTTCAGGTTTTTAAAGTTGGGCCTAGTTTTAATTGGCAGGTAAAAACTGCATGCAGTGCTGGCAAAGAATCCCTGAAAATTTTAATGATGAATAAAATAAAACTGTCTGAAATTATTTACTGTACTTCTTCGATCTATCCCCAGTTTGGCTCCAGTGCAACAGCTAAATACTGTAGGTGAAATCTTGTATTGTGCGCAATGTTGTTTCTGGTGCAATCATCTTGAACCAGATCCCTCCACAGTTCACTTCAAGATTGGCAAGTACCCAGGCATCCTGATAATTTGATTATGCAAGTTTTCAGTTTTGGATACCACGTCATCATATAGTGCATGCACATACAGTAATAGATTGAACTGGGATATTATCAAATTTTGCAAGTGCCAATGAAGGATTAGTGTGGCACCATGGTATGGCACGCTTTTGTTATTGTTTTTATCTTACCCAAAATCAACAAATAATGGTAAATTACCTTGTCTGGTATCTTTCCAATAATATCAGATAATACGAATCAAGGATTCTCAAAGGCTGGTTTAAATATACGACAGATTACAAAAAAAACGTTTCCAGCAGGAATTTGATCCCGCAGTACAATGGTGTGGTACTAATCTTTTTGCATTCTCAATTTATTGTTTTCATGTTAGGGTGCGAAATAACGGCTGGAGGGTCGCTGGTCAAGGTGACCGTAGGCCGTATTCCCTGACCGCTTTTCGTTCAGTTTTGTTGCCCCCCTTCGGGCACTACTTTAAATTCACACGAATCTATACATTTTTATACGCTGAGTACGAATTCACTTGTTGTCACTCGCACAAACCTGCAGTTTTTTTGTATTTTACAAACATCAACATATTTTATTAAAATTTCCGCCATTTTGTTCAGGAAACTTCATGTTATATACAATTATTGTACTAGTTCAAGTCTCTTAGCGGGGGGGTTGCACGCGGTATTACGCATTTTTATCATTCTTCTGAGGAAAATATACGTACAGAAATAAAAATATAGATATTTTTTCACAATATTAAAATGCAAAAGGTAATAATACATGTTTGTATATAATCAGGAACTAATCTACTATTCTTTATTCCGCCAACTTTTGGGTTTTTGGCCTCACCTTGATGTGAAATTGCAAAGACTGTCACTATATGGTCTATATCCACAAAGACTCACTTGACTTGTCCAGAATAGATGGTTTGGCTGAAACTCTCAAACTCATTATTTATGTTAGTCAACATTTATTCATAAATCTGGTCCTTCATCCTCATGTGTGTATTGTATTCTTGCCAAATCCACCTTGTATTCTTGTAATTTTCAATTTACCCTATTGTTCGAGTTACGGATAGGTAACTTTCCTAAGACATATTTGCTATTGGTTAGTTGGGCAAAAATACAGAGACCAGATTTATGAATAAACCAGTGGTGTAACTTTACTTTTTTGACCATTTGCTCTCAGGGCAATTAAGTTAATTGGACATGAAAATTAGTTGCCCTGAATAAAATTCATTTGCCAGGGGGTATAAATCAAGGGGGCAACATGTCGACTCATTCTCTATGTGGCTATGTTATACTGCCTTAGATCTACCTTATAAAAAAATTATCCGATAATGAAAGCCGAGCTTTTTGTGGCAAGAGGCAACTTGCCCAATCAGGCAAGATAAAACGTTTACTTGCCTGTCATGATATTCACTTGCCCCGGGCAAGTGTTAAGTTACACCTCTGTAAACGTTGACTAACATACCTGTAGATAATGAGGTATATATATTGTTGATAATGAGGTATATATATTGTTATTCTAATGAGTTTCCAAACCATCTATTCTATTAACTATGGTATGTTCCATTTTCTTGTATTATAATAAAATTTTTGCTATCATGACATTGAGCTTTGTAAAAAAAACTTTTGGAAGATGTCTTTCACTTACTTTTGGTCTGTTTATATGGAGTTAACCCAGCCTAGATTAGCCATATTTTTTTAATCACTTTATTGTTATTAAAGTATTTACATTAGCAAATGGTATCTCTCTGAGGGATAAAACCTTCAAAACTTTATTGTTGACAAAAATTTCAGGTAGACAATACCCAGGAAAATTGCCTATTCACATTGCAAGGCTAAAATTATGTACATAATTTCAATAAATTAATAAAATAAACAACTTTACCAAGGACAAGTGAGTCTTTATGGATGACAAGAACAGTAGATTAGTTCCTGATTATTTACAAACATGTATTATTACCTTTCGCACTTTAATATTGTGGAAACATATCTATATTTTTATTTATTTCTGTATATTTTCCTCAGAAGAATGATAAAAAATGCGTAATACCGCGTGCAACCCCCCTGCTAAGAGACTTAACTAGTACCATAACTGTATATAACATGAAGTTTCCTGAACAAAATGGCGGAAATGTTAATAAAAAATGTTGATGTTTGATCAACTGCAGGTTTGTGCGAGTGACAACAAGTGAATTCGAACTCAGGTATAAAAATCTATAGATTCATGTAAATTTAAAGTAGTGCCCGAAGGGGGGCAACAAAAATCGTTTTCTAAGCGACTTTTGGGGCCAGGGAATACGGCCTACCGGGCCAAATCAATTTTAGCTCGGACATATCAAATTTCTGACCTGTAAAATTATTCAGCTTAATTTACTTTGCTGCCTAGTAAAGTATACGTCCCTTAAAAAAATGTGACTATACAATTACTTTATGGTTTGAGTTTCCGTGTTTGGATGGCCTTAATCCAAACACGCGGGAATGTTGCGAGAGTTGAGAAAAGCGCGCGAAACACGAGCCGAAGTTTTATAAAATAACAACTTTCCGTGTTAAAATTTCACTTTAAAAAAACTTTCACTTTAAATTTCCGTGTTTGGATGGCCTGATCCGAACACGGGTTTCGACCAATCAAAGCACGCGTTATATACATGTTATTTTATAATATTTTTTCCAGTAGCATTACAAACTTCACATAAAATAGCTTGCATCGCGATTTGCGATAAAAGAGTGCACTGAAGATGTGCGGAAACCGGCGTCACCTAAACTTAACTGGAACAGCTTGACGATGATTTCTAAGCGGTGGTGCGAGGTGAATGGAACGCTTGGTAATCATGTCAACACAAAAGGCCATTATTTTGAACTTTATTTTAGACTTAGTGTTCTCTCTCCTCCGCAGAGCCTCTTTAAGTATTTACAAATAACTTACATGAAGTTTCCTGAATAAAAGTGAGCGCGCGCGGTGTGATGGGAAGATTGAAATGAAGCCGAGAAGGCTCTGCCGCCTAATGCGACGAAGTATGGTTTTTGAACCAAACCAGTTATTTGACTTTTTTAAACTTGAAATTGGTGCAAGTAGACAGAAGAAGATATTGATTTAACAAATATAAAACATTTTCCGTGTTGATATACAGTTATATCAACACGAGTGGAAATTGGGAAAACGAGAAATTGTGTGGAAACACGACGCCCGAAGGGCGGAGTGTTTTCACACAATTTCGAGTTTTCCAAGTTGCAACAATGTTGATGGTTCAACAACTTGTTAACAATATTGTTCACGGGGTGCAGCACAACATTGTTCGCTCCTGTTTTGAACAACTTGCATCAACATGATGATTTTTACGCGTGTTGCAGAGGCTTCCTTTATTTCACTCTTCCCATCACTCCTTGTGCGCTCACTTTTCCCCCATTGGAAACTTCATGTAAGCCTCTGCGGAAGAGAGAGGTCAGTGTTTAATTTTATATAGTTTTTCTCTATTTATTATTACTGTCGATGCAATGGAAGTGTTGATAAAATATTGCACCAATTCCTTTCCTCAAGTTGATCAATTCATTTGATAGAAAATTGATCAACTTCCTGTTACTTTTAGATGAGCCAATTAGATTTCGTTTCAGAACCGATTGACCAATAGGAAACGCAACGCACAGGAAGTAAAAAGAAATTTGAATTCGTATGAATTGATCAACTTGAGGAAATGAATTCATGCAATATTTTATCAACACTTCCATTGCATCGACAGTAACTGAAGCTGCTTCCCATCATTTTGTCCTCAGCTCTCGTTCTCTTAGTCGGAACCCCCCCCCCCCCATGAGAGACAGGAGAAACAGTCTGCGATCAATCAACACTAACGCCGTACAGTTACGTAAGCAGTATTTTAAAATTATCCAAAAAGTGTCAAGTCCAAGATGGCGGACGCAGAGCAACTATGAATTATTACACATAACAATGTATTTAATATTCAATTTTTGGCGTGATCACAAAGGAAAGTTTCAACCAATCATATCCCCCCTCCCCGTTGGGCGGGGGAACTGTACGGCATTAGTGTTGATTGATCGCAGACTGTTTCCCTGCTTCACTGTTTCCCTGACTTACGTGACGCTCTTTAAAACGTCAGTAAATTAAAACAGCTTCGTGTGCACGAACAAAACGTAATCAAAATAATTTTTTTTCTTTATTCTTTCTTACTGACATCATGTGTTCATGTCGATTCAATTTTGTAACAGCTGTAGTTAGTGAAGTCGCGACGTTTCAACTTAACTAAGCACAACACATGCAGTTCTGACGTAAGATAAAGTCAAGTAAAGATTAGTTTGTTTGTTTTTTATCGAAAGTGACCGATTAAAATGACCAGCTAGGCACTATCACTTTGATTGGACAACTCCGCATTCGCGCCCTGCATGTGTAACTGAGTCACAGGGTTTCTATTTCTGATAGCTGAACATTGAACATCTTGCTCCAAATTTGAAACCTCATATGCAAAACTCTTCAAAATTCTGAATCAATTTATTAGCAAGGGCCAAGGGATCATGACTTGATAAAATTGGTGAATATTTATTGAGATTGTCCCTGTTCCAAATAATTAGGCTAGTTTTTGAAATGCTCCCTAAATTATGCAAGTTTTTTTTTTCTTTTTTGCAGGCATTTCAAAGTCATTTAGAGACGAATTACGGGCAAATTTTAAAAACTACATCTCAAACTGATGATGGTAAGTGAATTTCAAAAAATTTTCTTTTTCATGAAGTGTAGAAGTCATATTAACACCATTTACGTTCAAGCTCTAAACGTAACGTTTTCTAATTAATTCTGTTACTTTGACCAATGAAATTAACATGTTTGATGCATGAAATGTAAACAATTCGTAACGTCAACTGAAACGTTTTGTTACTTATTTTGGCGCGTTTACTGATTTTATGATAAAGATTTACCAGATATATAACTTATCCCAAACTTGCTAACTTTAAATATTTCCATTTTTATATGCAAACGTACAAAACATTGTAATTAACGTAAATGGTAGTATTCCATGCGGGAAACAAAGTTTAGTTAAAATTACAGCATCATAACACAGCATAATATTGAGTTATTATATGTAAAACAGCTTTAATATACAGCACCTATGTTTAACATTTATTCGGCGAAGTGGATGTATAGTGTAGGTTATTCACTGTAACTCGATTTTGTTACCGTATTTGTTACCCATAATTACAGCATTTGTTACCCATAAATTTGACTCGTATTTGTTACCCATAATTAATCTCTAGAGTTATATTGAAATTGAATTGGTTTTTTAGGCATTAAAGTATAAAATAAGTAATTGCCTGAATTTGCTGATCTTGATTTTTTTATTTTCCCCATCTAGATGACCAATCACTGTTGACATGTTTTGTTGAATTCACAGATCCAAATAATGCCAGAAGGTATGTGATACTGTATATTGTCACATTGTGTTTTACACTAAACAATGATTTATGATTACAGGGTTAAATGCATGGTAGATCAGAGTTAAAAATATGGCAATTTGTGTGTGTTGCTTAGGGTGTGTACTTTGTAAAAACGTTTTCTGTAAAACTGATAGTTATAGCCATTCGTCTCTGCATCAAGTATATACCCTTCTTATGAAATAAGACCCTTCTGAAAGAAACTTTGTGGTACCATGGATAATAAAATAAATGGATAGGACTCTAGCTGACGTAAGCAAAAACAACCTAGTTGCAATCTGTGACGTCACGCGTATTGCAAAGTTCTCGGCATTTTTGTTGTCTCGCTAGACTTTCCGCTTTAAAAGAGTAATATTGAAGCATGAACTTGTCTAATTGTTTCAAAAACACGCCTAAGCCACGACAAAGTATTCAAGGTAAATGTTTTTCGTCTTTGTTTTGTATTTTTTTACATTTGTAGCTACGAAATTGACGTCCCCAATTTTAACGAAATTTGGGATGCATTTTTCACTGTTTAGTGCTTGAAATATTTGCTAAACTTGACTGGGAATACTTAGAGATTTCATTGTAGAATGGCGTAGTTATATTCATTTGCTCTTTGACTAAAATATTTAGCTGTATTATTGCTAAACATGCCGTTTTTGAGAATTTGGTTTGCAACTAGGTTTCAACATCCAATCACGCCATCAGTCCATTGAAAACATTAGGTCACGTCAGCTAGTTTCCTATCCATTTATTTTATTATCCATGGTGGTACTGACTATATAATTCATAAATGCACTGATACATATGTACAGTACAGGCATACATCACGTAGTTGATTATAAGCTGGTCCTAACTTTCCATGGTGGCCGTGAGCTAGACTGCAGCACCTCCCCAAAAATGTTTTCAAGCTCCTCCACCATTTCCACCCAAATTCTGCCTTGCAGTGAAATATTAAATGCGGCTACGTAATACAAGGTTTGGGAAATTTGCAAACAGTATTTATCCTCACAGAGATTGAAAAGATATACAATAAACTGAAATGAAAATGTTTTTGTTCTGTGTATTTACATTTTGCTATAAGCGTACAATCGTCAGGTTTACGACTTTTACCTGTACAATTTGGCATACATGCATGTACAAAAAATATTGGACTGATAACAACTATTTTTAAACTTTAGGGCTGCCGATGATTTGAATGATATGGATTTTGATGGTAGTAGATTAGAGGTAAGTACAGTCTTTACATGTTTTAAACGGCAAGGTGCAAAAAGTATGTAGGAAACCTTTACATTAGGGATTGATCATAATTATCAACATGCTGAATTGTTGTGTCAATCAGTTGGCTAAGAAACTGACAACATTGGCCAAATTGATTACAAGATTTGAACATAAATTGTGAAATGAATTATGTATGGATACCCAAGGAGCTTGTTGGAACATGTATTGAGAAATATGGTAGATAATATATGAAAGTTATGTGGAAACTGGAAAAACTGGTAAAGTGGATGCCCATGATGATGATGCTGTCATTGTTACATACTGCGTAGACTGATAAAGATAATTCTTTTCGATAATTCACACCCAAAACTGCCCAGAAAACTAATGGCCTTAGTTACCCATATGAAAAAATCCAATTGGCATTCGATCCAGATGGAATTTGGCCTAAGGGACTGGTCATAAAGTAACTGCTAGGGTGGGCTGGAGGTAAATAAAAAATTTTGCCAATAAGTTTGGTCACCCATCTTAAGATGTAGATAAAAATTTTAAAAGCCCATCTAATCTTACAAAAAAATTTTCATGACCCACCCAATCTAAATTGGGAAAATACATTTTTATAACAAAAAAAACTTGCAGGTATGAACATTGTAAATATACACCGGCACTGTATTGACATACATAATTCCGCCAAGCTTGACCAACACATTCATCAATTACGATAATGAGCTGCTCTCCAGTTGGTTGTATTTGCTGTGATTCGACCATTTTTTTTTGTTGTATAAACAAAGTACTGGCTTCAATAGCACCATTTGTGTTTGATAATTTGGATAGTTTTGTTTACTTTTATTATTAATATCTTTATTTTTTGAAGTGCAGTAGATATGCATGGGTTTTTGTTTGGTGGCCCAACCGTGGACATACAAAAAAATTGGCTGCCCATCGAAACTGCCCAAAGATTTTCCATGGCCCATCCTAAATCACTCCAGTCCACCCTAGCAGTTACTTTATGACCAGTCCCTTAAATTTCCAATTGCAATGATATTTTCCGTTGTAAGTTCAATGTATTCCAATTTGAAATTTTATGTTCCTGTTGGGACTCCAAATACTACTGGGCGTAAAAAAAATACCTGTGGTTCCGGGTTCATATCGCGAAAAAATTAGGGTCGATAGGTCGGAAATAATTTTTTTTTTGAATATTTTTTTCATGGTTTTTTCAATAAATAGTGTGACAACAGACACCATTTTGGCAGCAGCCCGCAACCACCCGGAGAAAATAGGATCGCACGGTCAATCGCATTGAAAAAATAATAGGGTCGGCAGAAAAAAATCGGGTCGGTCAGGAACCGGAACCAAAGGTATTTTTTTTACGCCTAAGTTTCAATACATGGAATTCGAGCGACTTTTTAATAGAAATTTCTTTTTGAATTCTAATTGGATTTTTTTGTAATGGTAAGCTAGAGTATACACCTAAAATATTCTCACTGTCACATGTTTAGTGCGTAACTACAGTAAATTGTGTCAATGCATAATTGTCCTTCGTTTGTTGTAACTCAGCTAGCTTGTATTGAAGATGATTCCCAACCAATGTATGATGACACCACTAAGCAACGAAATCGACAAGGTGGCAGAAACAGACCACGGTGGAATCGACAAAATAGTCATGCTAATATGCCCTTAAGGTGTGTTAACTGTTAAAATATATTTCAGATGACATGTGGTAGATATACAAGAAATATCCAGCAGTTACATCTACCATGATAACATGGACCGTGGTTTAAGTGTACAAATGGCTGCACACACAACCATGGTTGTATGGACCATGTATATATGCGATTACACAAAACCAGGGCTGCCAAGAGGAGAGGCGGGCGGGGAGCAGTTGTTCCCACGCCCCCGGTTCAAAGAGCCCCGCAAAGTGACGAAGGCCCTTAAAATTTCTTGATATACAGTACCAGATTATTTGACCGAGAATTAAATCCTCTGTGCCGTATAATATATATGCAATAGAGAGTTTAAGCTTCGCGTTATACGTTATACGGCAAACGCCAGGCAAAGAAAAATTTTACAGTATCAGACAAGAAAGAGTAAGTGAACTGTAAACTTACTGTTTTAAAATTAAAATACATAATTATTCTTTCGACGCAAGAAAGAAGATATGAAACGAAAACGTTCAACGAAAATTTTGCCAAGAATTAAGTTCGAACCTGCCGATTGCCGTTCCTGGAAACGTGAAGCTTAAACTCCCTAATAAATGCAATACTGTGAAACACCGCGCTTCTCCCGTTAACAGTTATGACGTCATAAGATCCCTTGGAAAATTTTATGACGTCATAGACCCCCTGAGAAAAGTTTCATTATTATATGGACCATGATTATATAGACCATAGTTGGCAATTAGGTCGCCGAATGCCGACCGGAGTTTCAATTGATGTAAATGGATGCTATTTGTTAAAAAAAATGACAATGGTTAGGGCATCTATGAAATAATTATATGACATTCATGATATTACAGTACTTTAAATTAATAGTCTCACGTGGGCTGTTTCTATAGTACTATTGTGCAACTTACTATTATGTGTTTCAGAATTTTAATTCCTGGTGACATGGTTGGGGCTGTGATTGGAAAGGGTGGAGAAACGGTCCGCAAAATGTCAAATAACACAAATGCAAGGTACAGTGTAAGCACAATGATCACCTTTTATTTTCAGTGTTATTCCTTTGTGCTAGGGGTGCACCGGAACCAATTTTTCAAGTTCCGGCCGGAACCGGATCCGACTGGAACTGGAAAAAAGTTCCGGCCGGAACCGGAACTGATTTATTAAGCCATATATAGTCATATGTTACCTTGTCCACTGCCAGACAGGCAGACACTTCAAGTCATCAAGGAGAGAGCTCGTAAATGTTAGAATAAAAAGATTGACAAATGTTAAACGTCATAATGAAGTGTTAATAGTGTACATTTCCCTTGCGTAGTCCACATTTCTTCCTACTGTGACCTTTTGCTACACAAAAACGTCTGATATTCTATCTCTCTGAAAACAACAGAGTTCCGGTTCCGGCCATGCTTTTTTTATTAGTTCCGGCCGGAACTCCGAAAAATCGGGGTTCCGGCCGGAACTAACTGGCCGGAACCGAGTTCCTGTGCACCTCTACTTTGTGCTGTAATCATGTGGCAATTTTAGAGGCCTGAATTGAACCTGCGGTCTGGCATTTGCGGTGTATTTGCACTCTTAACCAACTGAGCTACAGAGTCTGGTTGTCGAGCTCCAACCACAAGTTCTATATATATTCAGCATGATGGGTGATGCCAGTATAAGATATGGGTAAATATCGAGATTTCTGGGCATCTCGCTCGATAGAATTAATAGTTAATTGAAGGGGTTTTTTGCAGATTGAAATTTCGAACGGAATTACAAATATTTAAAAAGGAGGAAAATTTCTTTAAAAGGAAGAACAGTTAGTAATTATGTGCCAGTGTTGGAACCATGCCACTTACTGTACGTGTGTTATACGTATGTGTAAAAACATGCAGGTTATTCCTCACCATGGACAGGAAGCTACTGAGTAGTTTTTCACAGGTAATGATAATCATTTCAGTATATTAAAAAAATACGAAAAGCAACCGGACAAAATCTTAAATTTTAATAAAAACAGATAAAAATATACATTTCATGTTCAGAAAATTTACAAATATATACTACTACATACTACTTTATCATTATGGTTAGCATTTGAGGAGGATGTTTTTATTTCTGTTTATATACAAAATACAATTTCCTTTTGGAAACTAAACTGTTTACCCTCCCAATAAAGGAATGACAACAAGGTCTATATATACAGTAGTATAATTTAACAATGCTACGTGTAACACTTACATACTGAAAGCCCTGTAAAAGAGGTTTTTTAGTAGTACTTCAAACAAAACCAAAATAGCTGCTCAAAACATATGTATGTGTAATTATTATAGAATTCTAATGGAACCATGGAGGTTCCTCAAGTACGACCGACCACTTTCACGTAACGGATTATATCATTCCTGCTTCATCGGATGGGACATGTAGAATAAAAAAGTATGAAAGCAACTTCACCTATTAACATTCACTGAAAGCAACTTCGCCTATTAACAATTAAGGACTGCATGTTTGATAATTGATGCCGTGTCCATTCGTAAGCAGACCCTATTGAATACTGAAAAGGATCAGTATTCTGGATTTGTTGATCTTGGGGATGCCATGCCAAATTTTAAGTTGGAGAAACTCGCTTTCGAGGCATTAGTCTTCTGGTTGGAACAAGAAGTCACTGGAAATGTCCCATTGGATATTGTTATAGCAGATATAATTACCGCCAAAGACCAAGCGACGGTGCATGCTATCTACATCCTTGGAAATGGCAGCAAAGGCTGGTTTAAAGTCTGGTCTGTGACAGCAAATGGCTGGGCAGTCAACCTTAGAACGCTGGAAATACTTGGTTATAACTTTGTGAACAGTTGTGATGCGATGAGAACTTCATTTATTCATCCAACTACTAGTGCATGAAGAAGTCTATATGTCATTCTTCATCCTTGCTATATGCTTACAATGACCCGTATTGCTCTGGCAACCTTTGGACCTTTGTTGGTGGTGAGGGAAATTGATCGACACAGGCTGAATAAACTTATTTTGTTCAATAGTCAATAACTTTGTTGTACTATGTTAAAACACGGTTGATAATAAAAAAAACCTGACTTGTTGATCAAATCTTCTGAAGTTCTATTCGCACAAATGCACGCGTAACTTGTCACCAAATTTGTTTCGATATATATATATATATATATATATATATATATATATATATATATATATATATATATATATATATATATATATATATATATATATATATATATATATATATATGGTGTCCTTGTTTTTGCACAATTTTCCTCGGTTGAGTTTGTAGATCATCCTTTTGTACTTCCAACACAAAATACATTTTAAAACCATCAAAATAAGTAACAATTTTCGCTTGCCATTGCATTTAAAATTCAGTTCTATTCAGCCATGTATGACATGTCTTTTCTTGAAATACAACTTGCTTCGCCCCCTGCAGTGATCTCGCGAGGGAACATAAACACGCGTGATCGCATCTCTAGACACGGGTATCTTCTAGACACGGGTATCTGGGGATCAGATTTTTCAGGCTTCAAGAAAAATATAAGCCGTTTATCTGAAAGTAGCGTTCCAGTTACATTCATTTCAATGACAGTGAATACCTCTGGTAAGCGCACTGGACATTTTGATGACGAATCACTGTGAATCATGGCGTGGCGGCGCTTATTTGCTGAGTCGGACTTCATTGTGTCTCTATTCTGTGTTGCAGTAGCCTGCGCGCAGTCTCATGACATTAGTAACTTAAATAGAGATTATAAAAGAATAGAGTGGGCATTGCAGAAAAATCTGATGGGAGCAAATAACGCTCTCTGATCGGCAAAATCTCGTTGGCCCGGATGTTTAGGAGGAGCATAAAGTTACGAAAATTGTTTTCTTCGACACGTCTTTATCGTTTTCTACGATATAAAACATAAATTCCTCAATTTTTCGCCACAAATGAATGTAAAACAGACAGGACTGTTGGTAAAACCAGGATTGAATACTTGAATTGTAGCGAAAAGATATGAAATAGATTTTCTTGGTTAAAGGTTTTACATCCGGGTATAATTCAAATTTGCCCCCATTTATTAGCAAGCTTCAATTTGTTCCTTTCGCTTTCCTGGACGTTTTCTGCAATGCCCACTCTATTATTTTATAATCTCTATGGTAACTTAACCATACGCTTATGTTTATCTTTTATAGAATTGATGTACATAGAACTGTTAATATAAATGGATTTAAGGTTTGAGCATTGCATGCACATACTATATACATGTGTTACATGGCCCAGAATTTAATTTGTTATTAGTCTGTAAATGCTATACACTGTACATATTGTGATGTCCAAATTAGGGTTGGGCGATATTTCGATATTTTGATTTATCGCGATATTTTCAATCGCGATTATTGTATCGAAGGTAGAAACTTGAGCGACGATATATCGAAATTATCGTCATGCTCGATGACTATCGTGATATTGCTTCGCATGTGTATAATGCTTTTATAAAATCCTAAAAAAATTCTTTCAATTCCTAGAAAATATAGTTTTTAAAAGAATTAAAACTATTTCCTGAATTAAATACGAATTCGATACGATAAAATGAAATGAAATTGAAGGCAAAACAGCGAATGAAATCACAGGCGAACCAGCGGAGACATAGTAGACACTGCATAGACAGTTCTGGTTTATGAACAGTAAATATTAGACTAGAAAAAGCCTTCATATTACTTTAATTTGTTGTTTTACTTGTTTTTAGTAAGAATGTATAAAAGCTTACTATCCCTAGATATTAATTAAAATTTAAAATTGAAAAATGTGGTCATTGTTTTTATTGCATTTATCGCGATATTATCGAATATCGTGATAATTTCCTTGACAATAATCGTGAGATGATTTTTTAAATATTGCCCAACCCTAGTCCAAATTGCTTGTATTTTCAGCCTGTGACGATTACAGGACAGACAGACAGACCTGCAGAGAATTGTAGTGCAGCATTCCGAGAAATACACCAGAAACTTATCGAAGAAACAGAAAAGAAGTCTGAAGGGTGCGTGATGCAATGAAGGTTTTTTGTACAATTTAATAGTGTAGAAATAATGAACGTTTTAATTCTTGCGATATTAATTTTTCATTCGTACATGCAACGGGAAAAAATATTTTCACGAGGTGGAAGATTATATGTTTGACGTTATATAAGTCAATGTTATAAACAAATACATACCTGACTTGCATGTATAATCTTCAAAACGTTTTACAGCGTTCTTCTTTTGAGTTCCTTACTCATTTGGAATTTTCTTAATTATGGAATTTTCTTAATTACCTTCGCAAATTTGAAAAACTCGTGCAAATCCCTTATGGGAATTTGCAATGTTCTTATCGGCTGTTGCAATATTCCAATGCAGAGAAACTTCCTTTTAAATTTTCCTAACTTGCTGTTTTAATTTCTTGACTTCCTGTTTTGTTCTGAGCGCTGTCATTGGGGTGGATCATTTTTGTTAGCCGATTATATACAGCGCACAAAACAGAACAGAAAGTTAGGAACTTGTAACAGGAAGTTAAGAACTGGGGGAAAATTTAATTGACTTTTAGCAATATTGCAAATTCCCTCAATAGATTTGCAAGGGAATTTTTCAAATTTGGAAAGGTAATGGGGAAGGTTGCAATCAAGTTAAGAAATCGAAAGAGGAACGCTTGACGTAGTTTACCTGTAATGAAGAATTGACATAATAATCGTATTGGTTTAACTCGGCATTATTGCAACCAAAATATTTACACCCTCCAGGCCGCCACAATCACGATAAGATTAGGATTTTGACGGATGGAATTTAATGAATACTAGACCCTATAGTATAAAATCCACGTCGGGTTTTCCATCACGTAATCATCATCAGCCAATTGAATAACGACAATTTAATAAGTAAGGTGTTACATAATTTTAATTGTGATGGCTACCTTATATCACCACTAATAATTCCAATATACCATGAAAATATCAGTTGCTAAGTGAAATATTTTGGAAAATTGATTGAAAATTGAGCTTATGCCATAACACTGTTTTCCACGTTTATAGAGAGGAGCCGACGAGTGTACCAATGAGAATGCTGGCACCTGATTTGCTGATGGGAAGAGTAATTGGTGAGTGTCAACGTTGTGTTCTTGTGGAGTATATACTGTACATATTCAAATACAGTACCGTACCATAACTATATGTTCGAATTGTTCAAGCATATATGGAGTATTAACGTATTTCAATTTAGGGAAAGGAGGTAGAAATTTAAAAGAAATTAAAGTAAAGACAGGAACAAAAATAGATGCCACGAGGTAAGTAATTTTGAGAAGATTTACAAAATACATCACGACAATGCACGTCAATGGTTTTTGATTCGCTAAAATACCATGTTTTATTGTATGTAATATATATACATAGATAGACATTTTTAGTAGGATCCTTGTTAAAAAAATCAATAACGGTTGAGCAATTGCGATTGTTCCTGTAACCCGTAAAAGGGTCAAGGTGGCGCCATATGAGGGAAAAGGTGGCATATTGCACTTGTCATATCTTCGGAACGAGTTCGGTGACCCCAACTTTATTTTCTGTTTTTACCATGAGCATATCATAAACTTCACCCCTGGGAAGTTTCAGCAAATTCCCATTTGCAGAACAATTACTGATGAATCACCTTAAGCCTGCAACCATATACAATACAATATGACTTCTGCGTTCTGAAGTTCCCAGACCTGCCGAAAATCTCTCCTCAGGGCTCATTGTACTTCATTAAGGCAGAAGATGTAGACAATGAAGACATGTGTTCAGGGGGATATAGACACCCGAGAATTAGTTAGACGGCTACGAGGGCTTTTGTTGAATGCTTCGTTAGTATGCTCTATTGCTCTATATAGAGAATACTAATGATCACATAAACTCGCTGTAATTGCTATGAAGCTCGCTATGAGACAGTTTATGGGATATTGACCGCTGAAATACCGCTGAGTGTGTGTTATCATGTTCCAATAATTCTTAATAATTCTTGTCACATTTTTGCATTTCATGATGAAATTCACAAACCTGTTTCTAAACTAAGCATTTGATTGGCTGCTCTTTCTCTAGTAGCCAATCAGAGGCTTTGTTTACAAACTTGGTTGCGTGAATTGGATTACGGTATGAACTTCTGAACTCCACAACGAATTTGGGAAATTGGAAATGAAGTTCGGAACATTTCAATGAAAAGTAGTGGAGATCGATTCCGTTCAGGTAGAGCGAGTTTTAAAACTTAAAATTACATCTATATTTTAGAGATCCTGTCACACCAGTTTTTAACGAAAGAATAATTACTATCGAGGACCCTAGTTTCGAGAATCCCGTTGAAAAATGTAGCAACGCTGAGGAAGAAATCAGTCGAATTCTACGGAAGAGTTATCAAGATGATTTGAATAACATGGCCAATATGAATGGCCGCATGGCTCAGGTAAGAAAACATAAGTTGAATAATCAGGGACGCCGGAAAGTCGATAATTGGGGGGGGGCAGATATTCATATATTCATGTTCTGCATCATTTATTTCCTTTGAAAGCGACTGTTTTTACAGTCTGTGAACACGAATATATGAATATCTGCCCCCAATTATCGACTTTCCGGCGTCCTTGTGAATAATGACTTCTCGCTTGCCAACCTATCTGTGCTTCATTTAACACGTAGAGTAAACCACCTATACAGTGTAAAGCACTATACTACAGTACCTTAATTGGCTACTATCGAAGTTTCTGTGATCTCAGTAGGAATTTTGTCTTGTTCCAGAGTAGAAACTGATTATTACTGAGAAAGAGACTGGTTCGAGGAACTGCAGGGGCTCGGACTCCCCGAATATGTACAAAACGAAAGTAACTTTATATTTTTAAATTTTTGTTTATGTTAAATTTCACGTCTGTTTTCCGTATATTTTGCGAATTAAATAAGTTTAAAAACATGGTCCTTCGTGTCGGATTAAGTGTTAATACACATGCTGAGAACAGCAATGGGTCTAACGAGAGTGGGTCAAGTTTGGGGTCCACATGTAAAGTTCAAGTTAGACTGCCAAAGATTGAATTACCAACATTTGATGGGGATATATTATGTTGGCAGTCATACTATCAGTCTGTTAAAGTGTCCATTGTGGATAATAGTGCTTTAGCTGATGTGCAAAAACTAGAGTACATTATGCGATCACTGAAGGGTGTAGCTGCTGAGTCGGTTAAGGGATTTTCAATAGTGGCTGAGAATTATGAATCTGTTTTGTCAACTCTGAAGGAAAGATTTGGTCATTCAAGGTTGATCTTGGATGCCCATATGAGGGGTTTGATCCATTTACCCAGATTGAGTGCTGAAGATGCAACATCTATGAGGGTGTTTTATGATAAAGTAGTCGGGCATGTTCGCTCGGTTGAGTCAATGGGAGAGAAGTATAGCTCTGAAACCTTGGCACCAGTATTGGTTCCTTTGATTGTTGATAAGCTACCAAAAAAAACTTGTGGAAAAGTGGGAGCTTGAAATTGGAGATAAGAAAGAGGACTGTTTGCCTATAAAAACACTCTTTACTTTCTTAGAGCAAGTCATAAGGGCAAAGGAATCTAGTACACAAGCCCCTAATGTAGAATCCAAACCTCCAAAGAATATTTCTTTGAAGGAAGGATTTCACAAAAATCCATCATTCAGAAGGTCTTCAACATCAGCGTTGTGTTCGTCTACTCAAACTCAAGAAAAAGGATCACAATGTGTGGTCTTGCATTAATTTCCTTTCATTGACAGTGAAAGAGAGATTCCGGAAAGTTAGTGCTAAAGGTCTGTGTTTCCTGTGTTTGGAAGGTGGTCATAGGTCGAACAGCTGTAGTCGAAAGACATTGTGTAAGCATTGTAGAGGTCGTCACCATCACCTTCTCCACACAGACCAGCTGCCCCCAAATAGAACACATCCAGACAAGACTGAAGCCACAGAAGGTCAGTCTGCAAGTCAAGAGGATGCATCAAAGAATGTTTCAAAGAATGTAACAGCCAATTCAGTTGGAACTGATGACATTGGAAAGGTGATTCTACAAACAGTCCCAGCTGTTTTGTGTGGTTCTAATGGGAACTCAAAGGTTGTTCGCTGTTTTCTTGATTCAGGTTCACAAACCTCCTTTATAAAGCAAAGTGTTATAGAAGAGTTAGGTCTCGATGGACCTAGTGTTAAAATTTCTGTGTCTGGCTTTGGTGGAAAGCAAGATAAAGCATGTCTTCGAAAGAGAATATCCTGCACACTGGCACCTGTGGACAGGCCCTAGGTGTTCACGAGAGTTTGAAGCACTCACCACTGCAGAGATATGTCATCCAGCTGATGCGGTCGAGGTTAATCCAGCAAATTGGGTGCACTTGAAAGATGTAAACTTTCCAGAAGAATTTCCCAGAGAGCAAAAGCCAATTGATGTTCTCATTGGTTTAGATTTTTACTATTCATTTGTCACAAGGGACATTGTGAAAGCCGATCTATCTGAACCGGTTGCTGTTCGTACCACTTTGGGTTGGGTCTTGTGTGGGCCAACAGGTACTGCTAGCAGTGAGTCTACTGTCTCAATGAACGTCCAAGTTAATACAAATGATCAACTGAATGAAACGTTACAATCATTTTGGAATTTAGAGTCTATCGGAATTAAGTCTGATGATATGCCATTGTTAAATAAAACTGAAGAAACTGTTTTGAACAATTTTAAGGAATCGTTGACCTTTAAGGACGGACGTTATGAAGTTTCCATACCTTGGAAAGAAAACCAAGTGACATTGAAGAGCAATTGTATTCAAGCAGAAAGAAAGCTGCATAGTTTGGAGAAAAGGCTTCTTGAAGACCCATTGAAAGCGAAGATTTACCAAGACACCATTAACAAATATGTGGAGGATGGTATTGCAGAAGAAGTACCAGCCAATGAAATCAAGCCAGTTGATAATCGACCAGTATTTTATCTCCCACATCATGCTGTTATTCGGGAGGACAGACAGAAAACTAAAACTAGAGTTGTATTTGATGCGTCTGCCAAAGATAGTGAAGGAACATCACTGAACAGTTGTATCGAAGCTGGTCCAGCTTTACAACCAGATCTATGTGGTATTCTTTTGCGTTTCCGAAAGAAGAAGATCGCTGTTACAAGTGATATTGAGAAAATGTTTTTGCAGATCAGTTTAAGAGAACAAGATCGAGATTCTCATCGGTATTTGTGGCGAGACCTTGATTTTGAAGCATCTCCCAAAGTTTACAGAATGACTAGAGTGACTTTTGGGGTTATTGCCAGTCCATTTTTGGCAATATGTACTACCGAAGAGCATGTACAGAGAAATAAAGAACTGTATCCTGAAGTGTGTGATGAAATTCTTAAGAATACATATGTTGATGATTTTGCCTTTTGTCGAGACGAAGTTAATGAAGCGAGAGAGCTGCAACAAAGTGCGAAGGAGTTGATGGCGCAGGCGGCATTTAACTTAACCAAGTGGTCAAGTAATTCTCGAGAGCTTTTAGAAGTTATACCTGAAGAAGATAGAGCACCTAACAGTCTCATCAACCTGAACCAAAGTTTTCCAGAGAATTGTTCAATTACGAAAGCTCTTGGTCTGAAATGGGACACAAACAAAGATACTTTGACATATATAATTGAAATTGGTCAACCACAGATTGAGACATACACAAAGAGACAGGTGGCTTCGTGCGCTGCTAAAGTTTTTGATCCAATTGGATTAATCACACCATTCACTGTGAGATCAAAGATGTTGTTACAAAGTCTGTGGACCCAAGGCATTGGATGGGATGACGAAATACCTACTGAAACCTGCAGAAAATGGACACAATGGCTGAAGGAGATCAACGATCTTGAAAACCTTGCCATTCCACGGTGTTATGTAGAGTTGCCCATGAATCGCTATTCTCGATTGGAACTTCATGCATTTGGTGATGCATCGGAGCTTGCATATGCATCTGCAGTCTATCTACGAGCTTTGTCTGTTGAGGGACATGTTTCAACCAGTCTAGTTATGTCTAAAACCCGAATAGCACCCGTTAAAATAGTTACCCTGCCGAGATTGGAACTGATGGCTGCAGTTATTACTGCTCGACTGTGCACTTATGTTCGCAATGCGTTGGACTGCCAAATTGATCGTATTGTCTGTTGGACTGATAACTCGTCCACTCTTCACTGGATACGTGGTTCACCTTCACAATGGAAACCATTTGTTGCCAATCGCGTTATGGAAATTCAATCGCTGTTAGATCCATCGGTCTGGAGATACTGCCCTGGACCACAGAACCCGGCTGATGTACCCACTAGAGGAATGTCTTCGAATGAATTGAAAGAAAGTCGGTTATGGTGGGAAGGACCTGCCTGGTTGAGAAGTTCTGAAGAAGAATGGCCAAAGGATCTACGATCGGCATCTTTAAATGAATATGTTGAGATTGAGAGAAAGCATCACGCCAGTATCAATAGTTATGTCATACAACCACAAGAGATATTTATTGACTTTACCAGATTCAGCAAGTACAATAAGTTATTGAGAACCATAGCATGGATAAAGAGATTTATCTACAATGCTCAAGTTAAGCAGGACGAAAGAAGACAAAATGTCTTAACTGGATTAGAAATCCAAGAGTCAGAACGTTGGTTGGTCAATCGAATCCAAATAGAACGGTTTTCAGAGGAAATTTCGTTGATTCGACAAAGTAAAGTATTGAACGATAGTAAATTAAGAAACTTGAATCCTTTCTTGTGTCAGTCTACCGGTTTGCTTCGTGTTGGCGGCCGAATCCACAAAGCTGAGTTGCCCGAGGAGGAGAAACATCCCATTATTTTACCTAGTGATGATCCTGCTGTAGAATTATTTGTTCAAGCTATTCACCGTCGTGAAATGCATGCTGGCATTGAGCATACATTGTCAGTGGTCCGTCAAAGATTTTGGTTGATAAAAGGAAGAGCTACGATCCGCAAAATCGTAAAGAGATGTATAGTGTGTCGTCAGTTTTACACCAAGCCTGTCTCTCAACAAATGGCAACTCTTCCAGCTGACCGAATTGTACCTGCACCTCCATTCACAAACGTTGGTTTGGACTTTGCTGGACTTTTGTATCTTAAGAACCGTGGTGAAAAGGCATATATTTGCCTTTTTACTTGTGCTGTCACTCGTGCAGTACACTTAGAATTGGTAAGCAACATGACAACTGAACGGGTTTTGCTGGCGTTACGACGTATGGTTGCAAGAAGAGGCATGTGTAGTATTATTTGGTCAGATAATGCAAAAACGTTCAAATGTGCTAAAAAAGAGTTACAGAGTTGTTGGCGAATCCTGGAATCCGAAGAAACCCGTACAGCTTTGTCTGAGAAGAAGATTCAATGGAAATTCATAGTACCCAGAGCCCCTTGGTGGGGTGGATTTTATGAACGTCTCGTGAAAAGTGTTAAGTTGCCGCTGAAGAAAATCTTTGGAAATGCAATGTTAGACGCCAAGCAAATGACCACCATTCTGACGGAGATCGAGGCTCAAATTAACAGTCGTCCTCTTACTTACATTGGAGCTGAACCAACTGATTTAAAGGCCCTTACGCCAGCCCAGATTCTCATTGGAAGAAATTTACAGGCGTTTAATAATAATAATAATAGCTTTAATTTGAGCAAATCGTAGTCAAAGACTAAATTAAATTTACCCATTACAATGTTGCGTTAGAAAGGTAAAAGGGGAAACAACTACAAACATCAAAACTAAGAATACTGTATAGTATATACTGAATTATTTACACTAAATTCTAAAAAGTCATCATTTTAAAAATATGTAGGGCTGTACATTCCCTATGTTCTTCCTAATCGTATTGTTCCATTTCACAGCAGATTTGACAATAAAATTGTTTCGAGATCTATTAGTTTTATATGTTGGCAACTGGAATTGTATTCCAGAGGCCTGGGACCTGGTATTATAATGAGTTTGGTAAGTAGGTGGTAAAAGGTCATGTAGTTTATGGTTTTCCTTCATGATGTTGGAGAAAAAGATGTCACATAGGTCTTCCAATCTCACACATAGCCGAGGGATGCCAGCGAGATCTAAGGCTTCTTGGTAACTAGTATCAGGGAAAATTATTCGCATGATCCTGCGTTGGATGGATTCAATTTGTTCTCTAAGGTATTCAGTAGTACTGTAAAACCATGCAGGGCAAGCATACTCCAATACTGTTCTTACGCACGTTGAGTAGAAAATGACCAAGTCCGTATCTGCAACGCCCGGCCCTTTTCAGAAGTCTCACAGAGTAAATACGCTTCGCAGCTTTCTTTGTTATCATATTGACATGCTCATTCCACTTAAGATTTGATGACAGATTAACCCCAAGTAATTTATAGGTAGATACCCTTTCAATTGGGACGTTGATAGTAATATTATCAATCACTGGAGGTACTCTTTTGAAACAGACGAACATTTCTTTGCATTTTACTGGGTTAAGCATCATTTTCTTTTCGTGTACAAATTCACAAATATCACTCGAGCTTTGTTGGAGATTACTAGAGCACAAATTATTCACAATATGAAGGGTCTCACTAATAGTCAGGTCGTCCATATACTTCCATCTCCACGATTCTCTGTAAGCCAGAGCGTTTACCATTAATAGAAAAAGAGTAGGTCCTAAAACACTACCCTGCGGAATTCCAGCTGGTACCGGTTTCCATTCAGATGAAAAACCGTTGACACACACTCTTTGGTGCCTTCCTGTCAAGAAACTACGAATACTCTGAATTAGAACAGGATGGACATCCAGTTCTCTCAGGATATCCAATAAGATGTTATGATCCACTCTATCAAAGCCTTTACTCAAGTCATAAAAACAGACGTCTAATTGCATCGTTTGGGTTGTCGGTATTGGAATATAGAAAGTTCATGAGATCCACCAATGCACAGGTTGTGGACGAACCTTTAACAGATCCGAAATGGCGATCATCCAATTTGGGGCCAACATGATCAAGTAGTAGTGAGTTAAGATGACTCTCGTAGACTTTCGCTACTGGTGAGGTAAGTGATATGGGTCTTAAATCATTCTCTATATCAACAACTTTGGTTTTCTTGGGGGCTGGGCAGACATCAGCACTCTTCCATTCAGATGGAAAAAGACCCTCCATTAAACAAGAATTAAAGATATTAGTTAAAGGTGGGGCTAAAATTGTGCTCAAGTTCTTTAACACAATGGTAGGGATAGGTTCAGGACCACAGGACTTCTTGGCATTAAGGTTGAACAGTTTTTGGGACACTTGACAAGTTGATAGCAAGAAATTATCAGGGACTATAAGATCTGGAGGGGTAGGTACTGGTTCCAGGGGCTGATATTCGTCAACAATCCGCAGAAACACACTATTAATTAGACAACACCCTTAAACACCCTTAAACACCCTTCCACCATTTTCTGGGGTTGCAGGACCTTGTGTTATCTAGATTATACCTATAATGATTGCCCATGGCGAGCTTAATCTCTTTAGACACTTTGTTTCGGAAAAAGTTACGAAGTGGGACATTGCCTTTCTTCCAAGCACGTTGACGTTTAACTATGAGGTTCTTGATGTAACTGGTCATCCATGGTTTGTCGTTGGTGTTTAAACGGCAAGGTTTGGTGGGCATAAACTTGTCAAGAGCAGTGATAACTTTATTATAAAACACTGACATCTTATTTACAAACACTGACATCTTATTATAAAACACTGACATCTTATTTACAAACACTGACATCTTATTTACAAGCAAAGATACGAAAGTTACGGAGCACACTTCCAACGCCTTAAAGAAACGATTACAATATCATCAACGTTTGGTAAATGGATTTTGGAAGCGATGGAATGCGGAATATCTTAAGTCGTTAACCACTTTGAAGAAATGGATCGATATTGGTCGAAAAATGCATGTTGGTGATATAGTACTCGTAAGTGAGGATAATGTTCCAAGAGGACAATGTCCGAAAGCCCGTGTTGAGGCAACGCATGAAGGAAGAGATGGTCTGATCCGATCTGTAACGTTACGTTTGCCCTCAGGCCGCCATACCCGTCGTCCTGTACAAAGACTACACGTGTTAGAAACTTGTGATGCTGACATAGCAGCAGGACTAAAGTAAACATTGAACAATAATTAGCTAGTTTGTTGACATTTGTCAGTTAATGAAAGTTGATGCACTTCCTGCATCGGGCGGGAGGATGTTCCAGAGTAGAAACTGATTATTACTGAGAAAGATTCTGGTTCGAGGAACTGCAGGGGCTCGGACTCCCCGAATATGTACAAAACCATCCTCGGTCCCAGGGCCTCAATCAGCCGTGAGGCCCTGGGACCGAGGATGGTACAAAACGAAACAATCTCGTTCCCCGAGCCTGCGATCCTCGGGAAGGAATCGAAGGCTCTGGGATAATCCGTTACCGGAAGCCAAGAATCCTGGCTAAGATTGAACTACGCATTCAATTTCAATGGCCAATCAGATTCCTCCCTGAAACGGATTATCCCAGAGCCTCGCGTTCCTTCCCGAAGATCGCAGGCTCGGGGAACGAGATTGAAAACGAAAGTAACTTTATATTTTTGTAAATTTTTGTTTATGTTAAATTTCACGTCTGTTTTCCGTATATTTTGCGAATTAAATAAGTTTAAAAACAGGAATATTAAGTTAGCCCAAATGGGGTTATTTCTGCATTAACCAGGAAAATTATAACCAGGCCCAGGGTGTTTTTAGATAGTGGAAATGCGGCGGCTTTAAGGCAATTTTCGTCATGCGTGACTTTTATTCCAAATGTGGAACACTTGGCAGGTTTTAAAGGTTGCATCATGAAATATGTAAAATTTATTATTATTTCTTACAGTGACAAAGTATTCCTTCAAAATTCTACCAAGTCTACAGTCAAGTGTTGTTGATGAGGGCATAAGTTTTGAATTTCGTTGTGAGTATGGGAAGTGATCGACACAAATGAAATGGTTAAGAAAGCGCAAAATAAATGGTGATGAAGTTGTCGATTATGTTCCAAGAAATCTTCTAACTGTTCGAACTGATTCAAGTAAAAGTGTTGAAGTGTATTCCATTAAGAAAGTTACTCCTGAAGATTCTGGTACTTATAGATGTGAAATTACTGAAAAGAGTGGTAAACGAGCAACACGAGCACGAGTTTTGCAGGTCAAACGTAAGTACTAAATGCCAACTTATCCCCGATGGGGGCAGTTCCCAGACAGGGGCTTTGTGACAGGGACGGTTATACTTTCCCGACAAGGGCTTTGTGACAGGGGTAGTTAGTTTCCCGACAGGGGCTTTGTGACAGGGGCAGTTAGTTTCCCGACAGGGGCTTTGCTTCGTCCTGTCCCCCCTCCCCATGCAACAAAACGATAAATGATTAATTTTCTTATATCATTGCCCATTGGGAATAAAAATGGCCAAATACGATAGGTTTAAAAATTACCAATCAAAATCACATTTTTCCACTTCTGTAGTACTTAAAGCACGAAGTTGGATTATTTTTTATATACATTGCACCCTGAATGTTGTATAGGAGTGCAGAAAGTAATACAATTTTCGCTTTCTTTGGATTTTGGGAAAATGCTGTTTTAATTTATCTTTTACAGGGGAAAAACCACCTGTTTTTGGAGATATGAAAGCTATTTTCGTTGTTAACAAAGGTGACGACGTGCAAATTGTACTACATGTGACCGGTTCACCGTCACCAAATATCAGTTGTTATCATAAGGACCGTCTAATAATATTCTGTTCTGGAAAGACAATTGATAGCGTTGATTTATCACAGAATATCACTACCGCATGCTCAAAGGATAATTATGATTTGACTGGATATCACGAGTTAATGATAAGATTCGCTACTTTTGCCGGAAACGATGGCATGTACAGATGTGAAGCAAGCAATTCTGTTGGAAATGATACGATCAATTTCCGTGTTAATGTTACAGGTACGATTTATCCATACTTATATATAAACCCGCTTTGAGTCAGGGAGGTAGTGGGAATTTTACTTACTTTTTCGAGGGGCAAATTCTTTTGGTAATAATATCGTCCTTCAAAGTGCCCTGATTGCGTTTTCAAATGTTGTTTTCGCTCATTTTTCTTGTGTGCATCAATAACGGTTTGCTTTCTTCGTCGCTCAGTATATGTTTACAATTTTATAAAATGGCGGCGAAAAAGAGGTGAGCCCGCAATAATTTGACCACCGCAGCGATAATTTTGAGGATACGTCATGTAAAATAACATTTTAATAGAATAAAATAAAAATACGCGCCTTTTTTATACTATAAATATATATAAATGAATTATTCTCTTTGGATATAAAATGTTATTTTCTTTTGTCTCTTATCTTTGTTTATCTTTTTCTAACCCTAACACTAACACCAACCAAGAAATGTTCTTTTATATCTCCGTAACAAATGGGTGAACATACTTATCAACACTTACCTTTCAGGCGCTATAGTTCATAGATTGTTACTGTATTTTTGCAAAGTAAATCAACAGTCAATTAAAATGCCCGCAAAAAACGGATAAATTAATTTAACATGGATCTGCTTCGCAGATCTTCGATGGGTAGTTCGGACCATAGATCACAAAATCGCACCTCAGCATCACTGGAGAAATGTTCATCTTGAAACATCAGCGCAAGAAAAAACCAGGCAACATCATCATTTATCGGGGCTTCGGTGGCGCAGTGGTTAGAAGCGCTCGCCTTTCACCTGACTAACCTCTGATGCCTGCGGGTTCGATTCTCATTAACGGCGATCTCATTGAGAATGCTTTGATGCGACTTGAACCCAGCGCACGCCGCTCATTAGGATGAAAGGAGACCTGAACAGAGGGCTAACTTCAAGGTCTACCTATATGTATACCTTAGATAAAATAATTGTGAAATCGTGAAATTGTGTGAAATCAGTGCACGAGAAAAACAGGAGTAATGTTCATTGAAACATCAGCGCACGAGGAAAAGTGGAGAAATGTTCATCAGGAAAAAAGGAAAATGTTCAGTTGAC